TCATCAGGCAAAGTCGACAGAACTAATGGAAGAACTGGACTCAGAGCAGAACAAGAATTAATTACATGGGATTGAATGAACTGATGAATATGATTGTAATTTTTGTGACTTTTTGTTTAAAATATTACTGATTTTTTAACCTTTTTGTTTTCCAAATACAAGGAAGTTTTTTTTTAAGATTTACAGCAATTTGGTAAATTAAACCTTTGTAAGCAAAAATGAAACATTTATCTTTTTCCCCCACCTGATCTCTCCAGAATTCAGAAACTCTCTGTGAGTATTATTTTCTTAGCAATACAGTTACTTGCGTAAGTTCAATAAGAATCTGTTCTCCTTATAATAGGACACGATTAGAAACACTGGTTATCTTGCCAAGGCTTTGACTGGAAAGTCATATTTGAGAGAGACACATGTAGACTCAGATATGACCAGACAGCTTGAAGGAACTGAGATTTCCTTTATTTTAAAATTTATTATTATTTTTTCTTTTTGGCTGTGCGGCTTGCGGGATCTTAGTTCCCCGACCAGGGACTGAACCCATGCCCTAGGCAATGAAAGCGAGGAGTCCTAACCACTGGACCACCAGGGAATTCCCAAAATTGACTTTATGGGCCAATCAAGTTCTTTGGAAAAGCATCCTGGTACCTTGCTAACAGGGTTCCCAGCGCCTTACCACGTGAGTAAGGATGGTCACTTCTGGCAGGCACAGGAACCTCAGGATATTTGGGGGATCTCAAGAGAGGAATTCACCCAATTCTATAGGTATTACAGGCAAGTCTGATGATAAGTCTGACGTGGCTTCCTGGCCTTGACAGGCTACTAAGAGTTCAATCTGGAAATTCCTTATGAAAAGTTCCAGCAAAGCAGATTCAGAAGAACCTATATGGCTAAGCCCTATTCTTGCTGGACCTGTATAAATAATCAGGCCGAGTTTATGGAATCTAGACTTACTCTGCAAACAAATTCGTTTTAATTTGGCTATCTTTGGTAGAAATGAGAGTGATTTTAGAAAACAAAATTATGTTTCAATAGAAACTATAATGCACACTTGTATATATGATTCTAGTGCTACTAGTTTTCATTGAGGTTTTGTTATTTACCTGAAAACTGGACTGGATCCTGAATTATTCTAGTTTCCTCCAATATCTGGCTACACCTCTTTAATGTTTCCAATTTTTTCTCACCCTTCTGAGTTGGAATCACTGAGAACTAAAACTAAGTTTGGAATCATTGAGTTGAATCACTGAGAACTAAAATTGCCCTTTTCCTGAAGTCCTGCAAATTGAAGCTAAATGACTTGATAAACTTCAGAGAAATTGCCACCACGGCTCATATTTAAACTATCCTCGTGCCTTTTACTGTATGAGCCACTCAGAAAGTTTTCCTGAACACCTGGTGACATGAGAGACATTTCAAACTGCAAAAGATGCTTCAACCCTGACATCTAGAAATCTTCTTGACTGACTGCATCCTGGTCTATAAACTGGTTTATAATCTGCTCCGATCATTAACCTTTGTTTTTCTTTTGATTCCCTAGAAATGTCTCCTATTAAATACCTGATTGCTTGCACCACAGGCCTAGCTTTGGGAGCCCTCCTGCATCACTGCCTCCTAAAATAAGATATAACTGTTTAACTGAACTAATCTGTTCTCAGAACTAAGAAAATGGTTCAATGAACTGTAGGACTCCACTAACCCATACTCTCTCTCCACAGAGGATGATTCAGGGGAGGGAACTGTCAGACCCGAGGTAGGCCTCCCCTAAATGTTTCTCAATGGCATATTGATTATTTTGAATTAAAGTTACTGAAGAAACAGCCAACGCAAGGGACACTCTGACCCTCCTTTCTGTCTCCCTGAAAACAGGAAATAAATTTCTCAAGTAAAAAGTGCACTCCCTGCATCTGGACATAAAGAACATCCTTATTTGGACTTCCCTGGCAGTCCAGTGGTTAGGACTCCACGCTCCCCATGCAGGGGGCCCGGGTTCCATCCCTGGTCAGGGAACTAGATCCTGCATGCCGCAACTAAGACCCGGCACAGACAAATAAATAAATAAATAAACATTAAAAAAAAAAAAAAGAACACCCTGGGCTACCCTGGTGGTGCAGTGGTTGGGGGTCCGCCTGCCAATGCAGGGGACACGGGTTTGATCCCTGGTCCGGGAGGATCCCACATGCCGTGGAGCGACTATGCCCGTGTGCCACAGCTGCTGAGCCTGTGCTCTAGAGCCCGCAAGCTGCAACTACTGAGCCCGCGTGCCACAATTACTTAAGCCCGCGCGCCTAGAGCCTGTGCTCCGCAGCGAGAGAGGCCACCACAATGAGAAGCCCGCACACCGCGGCAAAGGGTGGCCCCCACTCGCTGCAACTAGAGAAAGCCCGCGCACAGCAACGAAGACCCAACACAGCCAAAAATAAATTAATTAATTAAAGAAAAAAAAAAAGAACACCCTTATTGCCAAAGATAGGGAATTGGGGCCAAGAAACCTATGTAAATAAACCCTGTTACTTCTTTAATTTACTACCTGAAACCCAAACTTTGTTTAGATTCTTCACTAACTGGGCACCCAAAACCTAAGTTTCTTTGTCCAGTCAGTTCCTCACAAATGTATTGTTTCCTTGTCTAATAAGTATAAAAGCTGCCTGCTTTGGCCACTTTTTAGGTCCCATTTCTGTGAGACCTTCATGTGCATTAAAATTTGTTTTTCTCCTGTTTATACTACTTTTATTATTAGTCCAGCCACAAGAACTCAAAGGAGGGGTAGAGAAGGAAGCTGCCCCCTCCCTGACAGTCCGGAGAATTCTTGGCAAATACAGCCATGATCCCATCCTGCCCCCAGACCTTCTGTGGCTCCCACTGCCAAGGGCAACATCCACCCTTGATGTGAAGGCCTCCCCCCTCGGCCCATTCCTGGCTTCAATCCAAGCCACCCAGGACTACATCAGATGCCCTTGGCCCTTTTCTTCTGTCCCTTCATCAATCACTCATTCAAAAGCCAACCTCTCCGGTCCTCCTACCCCCCACCCACCAGGGTCTAACGGCTCTCTCATCTTGCCCCATTTGCCCCTGAGTTGATTCCCCAGCCCGACTGAAAATCCCCGGGCCCCCTCAAGGGTCCACAAAGCCCTGGTGAGAACAAAGATGGCTGAATGAGCACCAGCCCAGGCCTCACTGAAAAACGACCTCCAGTACTATGAAGCCTCAGCCCCCCTTCTCATATCTATGCCCCCAGGAAAATTTGGCCACCTGCCAGACCCACATTTCCCTATACCCAGCCCCCCTCACCATGAACACTAACTCTCCCTCATCTGTCTTTATGATGCCAAACAAGCCAGCAAGATACCCTGTTCTCAGTTCTCAGGCCCCACCCTCCCCCTTCCCCCTGACATCACTGCCACCACGACCTGAAGTTTCACCCTCCTAAATCCGACATACCCTTGCCCACACACCAGATGCCACATCTTGGTTGTTTCTTTTTTTGTTTTCTTTCTTTTTTTTTTTTCTGGCCACACCGCACGGCTTGTGGGATCTTAGTTCCCCGACCAGGGATCAAACCCGGCCCCCCCTGCAGTGGAAGCGTGGAGCCTTAACCACTGGACTTCCAGGGAAGTCCCTCGATGTTTCTAACTGTGAAAATAAAGACCAACCAAATGAGAACAGCAAAGGCTAATTACTCTGAGTTTGCTATAGAAAGAGAGTCAACCGCTTATGTTCTGGCACAGACTCAGAGGCAGGCAGAGGAGCGGGAAAGCTTTATAAGTGGAAAAAAAAAGGAAGGCTTCAGGTATGCCCTGTTGGCATGGGGAAGCTGTGGGCAGGCTAACTAGGCACAGGGCATCCTATGTGATTGGTTAGGGGTGCATATTTGGCTTTTTCTGATTGGTCCTATGTTGGAAGTAGGAACAAAAATTAGAGGAGTTGTCAGCTATTAAGCCCTGGTCTTTTGGGGCCAATTGTTACAGAAGTTATTGTTTAACTTTCTGGATTGTCACTAGAGATGGCAATCTGGCTTCCTGCAAGTCTAACTTGCAGCAGGATGGCTTCCTGGGTTGTTTATTGTAGATAAGAGGGTTGGTTGCCTGGACAGATTGCTGCAGGTTGTGGGTCAGAGTTCTGTTTTATATATAGTCTGTCAATTGTCCCTTTGTATATTTGGTGTCTCATAACCTAAACTAAGCCTCCCCAGAATACCATAACTGTGCGTCTGGCTGCTCAACCTTCATCTTCACGCAGGGGTCCCTGGAACATCAGAGTTCAACATGGCCAAAACCTAACTTCTTCTGTTTCCACTGAAAATTCCTCCTACAGCCAACTTCCCCTTCTCAGTTGATGGTTCATCCATCCTTCCTGCTGCTAAAACCCAAAACCATCACGTCACCTCTTTTCTTTGTCAGCCTCCACATCAGAAAATCTGGTCAGACTAGCTTAAAAGACACACCTAGAATCCAGTCGCTCCTTCGGCCTCCAGCCACCTGCCCTAGTCACGTGGGCTGCAGTACTGCAACAGCCTACTCCTTGCTCTCCCCGCCTTCACCCTCAGCCCGCAGTCAATTTTCCACTCAGCATCCCTAGGGCCCTGCCAAGACCGAAGTCAGATCATCTTCCTCCTCTGCTCTAAACCTTCTGTGGCTCCCAGCACTCTCAGTAGAGAGCCCCAGCTCCCCACCCCGCCATTCCAGGGCTGACTTCGGCCCACCTGCTCTCTGAACACTCACAGTTCAATCAGGCATTTGCACGTGCTGGTTCCCGTGCCTAGGAAACCCTTTCCCACCTCATCCCACTAGAGTTTAGAAATGGGAACTGCTCTCTATAATCCCTGGCCTGGATTCAGGACCCTAGGCTAGGAGGGACTGCTCCCCTCTCAAACCCTTGGAGACCCGGGACTCAAAAGCAGAAAGATGAAAAAGAAGTGAAGTCGTAGGGCATCGCCCACCCCGGCGCCGGGCACGTGAGTGTGGGGGGCTGAGCGGCTGAGGGCCTGAAGCCCATCCACTCACCTTCGCCGGGTCCATCAACGCCGCCGCCGCCATCGCAGCCCGTGGACGCAGGGTCCCTAAGAGGCGGGCGACCGAGGCGGGTGTCGCGGGCTCAGCCTAGCACCGCCTCGCCTTGCCCGGGGCGAGGTGGCACTTCAGTCTCCCTGGGGTCAAGGGCACCCAGAGCCCGATGCCGCCGCTGGGGCCGCGGAGAGCGCGCGGCCCGGCGGGACCCTGGCGGACACCGCGTCCCAGGGGCTCAGACTAGTTCAAAGGCGCGGAGGAGGGTCCTGGCCTCCCTGTCCTTCCCCTCCCGCTTAGGAAAACCAGCTGGGAAGAGCAGTACTGGCCCAGCCCCGGGCCCACGGCTCGGGGCGCACCGGCCCGGGGAAATGACTTGCTGCCCTGAAACGCAGGAAGTTCCGGCCCCCACCTCCTCGGCCCTAAGAAACGACACTCCCCGGGGCTGTCATTGGCCCAGCGCCAGCCGGTGACGCACCGGCACAGCCTAATAGATCGTGTTTTCTGTCCTGCATCCGGCCAGGCTGGTCGTGGGCGGCGGGGGAGAGGCGGGAGGGAGGCAGGCGGGGCAGGAGAGCGGACCTTGCTGGTTGACATTGGCCGAGCTGCACCGTGAGCTGCACCTCCTTAAGGGACAGTCCCCAGGCCTCTGGGGCCAAGTCCCGCCCGCCCTCAGAGGTCTGTAATATGAGACCCCCTGGTACCTGTGTGGGCGTAGCTGGCCCCTTTACCTCTCAGGCTCCGGAGGACCCTAATTCACATGGAAAACTTAAGCTAATGTCTAATTTATGGGTTCTTTGTGTACTAACATTAAATGTTGCTCTAATTCAGTGCATCTCAAACCCGTAATGTCAGCATCACCTGGGAATTTGTTTAAAATGCAAGTTCTCAGGCAATAACCTAAACCTAGACACTTAGAAATCATCCTGGGGGTGGGACCCAGCCTTCTGTGTGTCAACAAGCCTTCCTTCCGGGGGACTCCAGTTTAAGGAAAAGGGACTCTCATTAACATTCAGTAAATAAAATGGGGGAAATAACACTACATATCTCAAGGTAGGTAACAGGGCCTAGCACACAGTTTCTGCATAGCTAAGGAATAATTTCAGTGAGCCCAGACTTGCATCTTCCCATGCAGAGAAAGACACTGAAATCATTAACTTAAGATGTCTGGGGACTTCCCTGGTGGTCCAGTGGCTAAGGCTCTGTGTTCCCAATGCAGGGGGCCCAGGTTCCACCCCTGGTCAGAGAACTAGATCCCATATGCCGCCTCTAAAAGATCCTGCATGCTGCAACTAAGGCCTGGCGCAGCCAAATAAATAAATAAATTTTTTTTTTTTTAAATGTCTTTTTTTTGTGATTACCAGTAATCTTTTGATGTTTGACTACTATGTATATATATATATATATATATATATATATATATATATTTTTTTTTTTTTTTTTTTTTTTTTTTTT